AGCCCGGCAGCCCCTTCGCCCTCCGCACCGAGCGGGGTCGAGGCATCATCTCCACCCTGCGGCCGCTGCGGGACCCCGGCACCCACCGCCTCAAGGTGCGGGCGCTGGCCCCGGGCGGGAGGCGAGCACCCAGCATCTTCCTCCTCATCATCTCCGTCTCACCTTACCCCTACTGACGCAGCCGAGGGGCAGGAGAGCACATGGGATCATGTCTTCTCTTGCCCCTCAGCACCGCGCCAAGGGGGGCATGTGGCTCAGGGAGAGCTGAGCTTGCACCTTTCCTCTCCGTCCTCCCCGGCCCCCCTTGCTTCTCCCCTTCACCTGGGGCCAGTCCCTGACTCATCAGGGTCCTTGGGGATGGACAAGGTGTCCCACCAGCCTCTTGCAATCAGGTTTTGTTGCAATCCTGCAACCCGCACTGCTGGCCCTAGGGCAAACAGCTCCGGGTGGCCTTGGCCGAGATCAGCCCCTAGATAGAGTGAGGTGGGGGGCTGAGCTGGGTGACAGGGGCTGGTGAGGGTCCCACTGAGGTGCAGGGTGTGATCCCCAGGCTGGGGTGGGCACAGGGCACCTCTGGTATCAGCCACGTATTAAATTTGAAATAGCCTTGTGTGCAATTTTTTATTTTTTAATCCACTCGTTTTCTGCGCACACTTATTTATTTATGGTTTTGTTCCAAATAAAGGTGTTTTGTGGATAAATATCAGCTGAGCCTGAAGAAAACAGCTTCCTTCAGCATTTGGAGGGGGAGGAGGCTGCCCCAGCAGCAGTCCCGATTTCCAGGGGCTTTGGGTGCTTCCTTATGTGGCCTTGGACTGTGGAAAGGAGGTTGTCTGGATGAGGCACTGCCAAAGGGGGGACAATGTCCAGCCATTGAAGGTCCAGTCTTGCCCTTTGTGCACGTGGTGCAGGTGGAGGCTGTTTCAAAAAAATGCCATTTAGTTCTGTTCCACAGTGCTAGCTGGAAGGGCAGGGGGTGCTGGCTTCAAGGCTGAGCCCAGGGGCCCCCAGGTGACTGGGACTGATGATGGCTGCCCAGCCAGGGGAGGGTGCCATGGTCAGATCCCATCACTGGAGCTTGCTCTTGCTGCATCCATGCAGGGTCACTGAGACATCCCCAAAAGGTCCTGTCTTATGGGTTGGGGGTTTCCTTTTCTCCTAGATCTGCTGCTGGTCTGGGGTGTCCTGGGCACATGAAAGGGGGAAAGGTGCTTTTTCCCTAACACCCACTCCCTGACCCACCAGGGCTCCTGCTTCTCCTCCAGTTGAGTTTTCCTTCACCCTCCCTCTCCACATGGTGCAGTCGCTGAACACTCGGGTTTTGGCTTCTCTTTGTGCCTCTCCCTGCCTCTCCCCCCTCCTTTTTCTCACCCCTAAGGTCAGATACCTCTCTGGGATCCCCCTGGGTGCTCTGTGGAGGGCAATGAGGAGGTGAGGAGGAGGAAGCACAGGGATGACAGCACCTAAGCCAGCCGTGCGGCCAGCTCGAGCCAGGCACCCTCTCCATCCCGGCTCGCTGTGCCATCTGACCACCCCCACCACCCCCCCCCGATCTGCCCCGGGTGCTCTGCGGGCAGGAGGAGGGCAGGGCCTCGCCGGGGATGGTCCCCACGGAGGGGACAGTCCTGCGGCGGCTCCGCCTGCCCACGCCGGGCTATAAGGGAGGAGGAGGAGGAGGATGCTCCAGGCACCGGACCGGAGCGCCGAGGGCAGCAGGGCCCTGGGGAACGGGTGAGTGTGAATATAACATAATAGGGAGGGGGAAGGGGTCCCCTTGCTTTGGGGATGGGACTCCTGCCCATGGCTCTCCCCTCTCTATGGGTTTCTCTCATTTCTGGGTGCTGGAGAAGGGTGTGCTAGTCCCTGGAGGAGCAGGGCAGGGGGGGTTCCCAGCCTCTTCCCAGCCCCTTCCCAGTGCTGGGAGGTTCAGACAAGCCCCTTCTAGTTCAATTTGAGGTGGGGTTTTTTTCGAGTTAGTCTAATCTTCCTGAGGCCACTCTGGAGAAGGGAGCTGGGACCTCAGCTGGCACCACCCTGTGCCTTCCATGCTCTGCTCTAGGAATTCTGGTGGCAGGATGGGACCCCCACAAAGTGGAGGAATGATGCTGAGGCAAACCCCAGCACCATCGGGCTCATCACTGCATCCCTCTTCTGTGGGAACCATTGGGGAGCCTGTCCCTGCTTCTTGCCCCATCCCAAGCTGCAGGCAGCACTCACCAGAGCAGAGGCAGCTCTTCCAGCCTGGCTGGCGAAGGCAGTTCCTCCTTGTACCACAGTTTTGAGCTTTTTTTATTCCCCTTCCCTTTTATTTATTTTTTTTTCCTTGGTTTCAAACACAACAAAAGCACAGTGTTTGAGCAGGGCAGCCAGAGTTGTTCTGGTAAAAACCCTTCTTCAACTCACACGGAAATGTCTGCAGAATAATAATCAGGGCTGAGAAAGTCCCGCCACTTTCCCCTTCACTTTGTTTGCTCTGATTTATTGCCACCTAACGCCCAAACTTTGGGGCTCTCCCTTCCTGAGCAGGCAGGCTTGGCATGAGCCCTGTTTCTGGAGCTGGAAACGCTGGTGGCCATGCACCTTTCCTGGAGTGCAGGATGCATCCCCAGGAGAAGGTGCTGTGGATCCTTCAGGCATCACATGTGCAGCATGATGTGTCTGAGCAGGAAAAAGTCGGAGGTGTTTCCTCTGCCTGCTGCCAAGCCACTCGGGAAGCGAGTGTGCCTGGTCTCAGAAGTGCTTAGTCAGGCAGATAGTGATGCTGGCAGGTGGAGTGGGGTTCGGTTTGGGGGCTAAAGGAGGGAATTTGCCCAGCAAGGAGCTGCAGATGCAGCATCATGCTTGGGCTGAGCCCTTCTGAGAACTGTGGCTGCTTTCCTGTAAATGCCCCAGTGAGGAAGGGAACTGCTGAGGCTCCCTGGGCAGGGGCCTGGCTTGGTAGGGAAATGAAGGTTGCACAAGCCTGGGTGCTGCCTGCACGACTTTACAGGCAGCCTGATGGGTGCAGACAGGCCCAGGCAGCCAAATCGTGGTTACAAGGCTGTCAGCTCCTCAGCAGG